CCAAAGCCCCTAAACCCTAAACCCCAAAGCCGCCCCTAAGCCCCTAAACCCTAAGGCCCTAAACCCTAAGCCCTAAACCCTAAACCCCTAAACCCCTAAACCTCTAAACCCCTAAACCCTGAAACCCCAAAGCCGTAAGAAGCCTCCTCGCCCAGCCGGCCTTCGATCTGACGCCCTCCAGCGGAGTTCTGCAGCCTGGGGAGAGGAAGCCGGGCCTGACCTGTTTTGGGGCGGGTTTGAGGGTTTAAGCTTTAGGATTTAGGGTTTAGGGTGTAGGGTTTTTCTTTAAAGTGTATGTAGATTTAGGGTTTAGGGGTTCAGGTTTAGGTTTTGTAGGGCTTATAAAGGTTTGCAAGGTTTCGGGTGTAGGGGCTCATGAACATGGGGGTTTCCGAAAATAGGGGACCCTAATATAGTACCCTAAAAAGTAGGATCCTTATTATAAGGACCCCAAAATAAGGTACCCTAAACCCTACCTAAACCCCTAACCCTAAACCCTAAACCCCAAAATAAGGGACCGCTGAATTTCGGAAACCCCCACATCGAGGGAAAGCTGACTCCCGATGGGGGATGGCCTACACCGACGATGAGGTGCTTGTAAGGCAAAGAGGCCTCCAGAGCTTTCTCCATGTCCTGAAAGCTCTTTACTTGGAGGATCATGGGACTTAGTAACTAGGATTATAAATAAGGTAACTATAATTATAACCCCAATTAGGGTACTTATAACCTTACTTACTAAGTACCATGATCCTCCAAGTAAGGCTTCTTGGGGCGTTGGGGGTCGCGGTTGTCAGGTCTTGCGGCTTGTAAGGTTTAGGGTTTAGGGTTAAGGATTTTTGTTTCCACAGCTTCTAAGGTTGGATAACTCGGGGAAGGTCCTGCTGCACACGCAGATGGACTTTGTCCAAACCTCCCTTGGAGGCGTAAGTTCAAAAACACTACTCCGCATGAGGTTGACGCGTAAAGATCTCGTGAGCCCTTCTGCAAGAACTGCCGAAGGCCATGCCCCAAAGGATCACATGTCTTGAACTCGTGAACCGTGGAACCCTGAATACCGGGTGTAGGGATATGAGACTTTTCGGTCGTTTTTTGGTGATCGACACCCACCCGACATCCTAAACTCGAAACTCAACCATTCTCGTAACCCTCACAGGAACCCCAAACCCCACGAACCATCATGAACTCGGAACCCTGAATCCTAAACCCTAAGCGGGAAGAACAAAGCTCCGTCCTCGACCGGAAGGTGGCGCACGAAGCACATGATCAGCTTACTCGTCAGGCCGAAATCCTCAGAAAAGACTCGGCCTCTGCTAGGTAGGCTTCTATAAGGGCTCTATATATACATATATATATATATAATAAGCTTCTATAAGGGCTCTATATATATATATATATAATAAGCTCTATGAGAGCAGTTCTATTCAGCTTCTAGAAGTTTATAGTCAGTCTATAAGGGCTCTTAGAGAAGAGGGCACCCCAATTTGCAGAGCATCGTGTCGACTGTGCCTCAAAGTAGCTACTGACAGCCGCACTTCTCACGACCTCTGGGAAACTCGGGGAAAAATGTACTACTCAAATTATAGTAAGGAGCCCCAATACAGTAGCCCCCTATATTCACCTCTACACCCTAAAGTCCTTACACTCTCCGCAACATAACCCGCAATCCTTACGTGCTTCCACTTCAAAGCACAAACAAAGAATCACCGAACACAGCAGCCCCCCACGAAAGTCTATACCCCAAACCCTACTCTGATTATTAAGGTCCCTATATTAAGTCCCGACATCTGGCCCAGCTGCAGTCTCAGCCTTCTTCAGCGCCTTGGTGAAGCCCTTGGCAGGACTGCAAAAGACTAGCAAACTCACACCTCCTCCAGGGGTTGTTTTAAACAGGTTCCTGAAACAGGTTGCTGTAAGGGTGCGTTTACAACGGTTGCTTAAATGGTTCCTTTACAAGAATTCCTTTAAGGGTTCATTTCCTTTAAGGCCTTTAAGGCTTCCTTGAAGAGGGTTCCTTTGAGGGTTCATTTATAAAGAGGTCTAGTTTGGTAAAGCATCAACAACTCATAGTCCTAATAGTCATCATAATTACTAGAGCAACAAAAACAACAATACTAGTCATAGCCGTAGAAATTATCGTCATACATGCAATGATTAATCATAATAATAATAACAAGAATAGCAGGATAAAGGTTACGGGATTCGCGGGTCAGGTTCTAAAGGCCTTCTGGAGAAGCTCTGGTGCTGACAGTCACAGCAGGTATGCAAGGTCTCGACAGGCGTTTTCAGGATTTTTTACTTTTTTTACAGGGGATTTACAATCTGAGAATTCTTCAATGGTCGTATACGGCCAGCTATGACTGTGCCGACGGCTTACGGCAGTCTGTAGAGTATATAGCATATTTTGGCATATATGTAGTTGCGGAGTCAGGCCAAGCGAAATTGAACTTCCACGGGCCTGGTGAGACTAGTGAGACCCTCTAGGCTTCAGGGAATGATGCCATCCGGAGGCATGGAGGGCCATTGGCTAACACACCTTGCTCTCTAGAGCCCTCAGCCCCACGACTAATACAAACCCTCTGCACTGCACTGATAGATGTGTCAGGCATAGATGTTCGCACCCGCCGGGCTTCAGGCAAGAAGTTCAAGACTACGTGCTCCGCTTCGTACCTGCCCCCTGCTTCTCGCACAGTGCGTCCCGTGTTCCAGGCAAGAGGCTGGCCCATGTTGATTCGTTCCCGATGCTGGACCCTGTGAAAGGAGGCCAATCTGAATCAGGGCCCACCAGTCCACCGAAGCCCTAAACCACAAACACGAAACCCCTTTCGATCTAAGGGTTCTATAATGGTTGCTCAAACGGTTTTATCATGATTGCCGTAATGGTTACTATAATGGGTTCTCTGGTGGTTACAATAACGGGTTCTAAAAGGGTTACTGGAAGGGAGCACCTAAAACATCAACCCGAAACTCTGGAATGAAAACCCTAAACACTCCCTAAACCCTACTCATCGAAGAAACCGGTCTGCTGGGGAGCAGGCTTGTATGAACGTCTCGAAGGGCACATTTCGCTGCATGTGCGGCTGGGGATCGAAGAACACCTGCCGAGTCAGATACCATGTGGAATGTGATAACTAGAATCGGGTTTGGGGATAATAATACAGTGTCACAGTTTTTTCAGACCCCCTTTCTGCTTTCAACCAGCTTGCATGTCCGTTCCAACGTTGGGTGGCGGCGCCTAGTGAGTGGACTAGGCTCTAGTGTTCAAGCCTTCAAGGTCACGTCCATGACCGGCCTGCTCTCTTATGGCACGGAAAACGCACCCTCAAGAAATTTCGCAGGAATGCTGAAATGTTGGCAACAGTGCATGCGAAAGAAGCGTTCAAGCTGTCGACAGAAGCAGGGCCTTGCTCCCAAAAACAGAAGACGTCAACATTTCAGTTCTGCGATGCTTGGAGGATCATGGGACTTAGTAAGTAAGGTTATAAGTACCCTAATTGGGGTTATTGTATAGTTACCTTATTTATAACCCTAGTTACTAAGTCCCATGATCCTCCAAGTGGTGCAGGCCATGCATTTCAGCATTCCGCATGCCCCTCTTTCAAGGAATCTGACTCGAAGAGGTACGACCATTTGGAGGGTGAGGACCCCGTTATTGGGTCTTTCGATCAAAGCTTTCATACTTGGAGGATCATGGGACTTAGTACGTAAGGTTATAAGTACCCTAATTGGGGTTATAATTATAGTTACCTTATTTATAACCCCAGTTACTAAGCCCCATGACCCTCCAAGTAGTCCCTCCAGGATGGCTGAAGCAATCACACACAACACAGGTGACTGGGAAAGATCTGCGACGCGTGTCTAGTGGAGAGTGTCGTTCCGGGGCTTTGGGTTTCAGCGTGGCGAAGGGCGCCTCCACGTGTCGCACGTTCTGGCTGTTGACTTTGACCAAGTAGGCCCAAGCCAGTTCAAAGAAATCCGACTCGTCCACCTTGTGCAGAAGTCTAGCACGTAAGGTCTTAGAACCTAAACCCAAGACCCTATGACCTTTATAAACCCTAAACTCTCGAACCTTAACCCTGTAACCACTAAACTCTAAACCTTGAGCGCCAAAGCGTAATATGCAAAACTCAAACCCCTAAACAGTGTCACGGCTCACATGCTCTAGGTCAAGGGCCACGAAGGTCTACTGCTACTTCTACGAGCTGCTAGGATGCCGGCGACGAATGCGACGGCAGAGGCGACGACGACCACACACAGAGGGTTGTTTAAGGCTTAGGGGAACTTTTGGTTTGGGGTTTAGGGTTGAGGAGGCTAGGATGCTTAGGCTTTGGAGTGCTGGCTTTTCGGCTTAGGGTCAGGGTTGTTTATTTGCTGGGATGCAGTTTGAACAAGATTTCTGGTGCCTGTTGCAGGAACGCAGCATCTTTACCCTGCACCCTCCCTAAACCCGGAAACCTAAAAGCCGAAGAATCTCACCTAACCCCTAAATCCCTACACCCTTAGACCCTAGACCCCCCTGACCCGAAACTTCTAAATCCCAAAAGCACAGATCTAAACCCCTAACATTCCTTAAAGCCCTACACCCTACACCCTAAAGCTGACGAGGAGCTGCCCGGCAACCGTTGTACGGTTTAGGGGGTTTAGGAGTTTAGAGGTTAGGGTTTAGTATTTTGGCTTTAGGGGTGTAGGGTTTAGAGGTTTAGGAGTTTAGTGTTTTGGCTTTAGGGGTGTCGGGTTTTGGGCTTAGGGCTAGGGCTCAGGGCTTCAAGACCTCTCGCATCAATGTGACTAGGGGGTATAGTATGGTGTAAGTTTTGTGATTATTGAAGCTTCTATACTAATCTTCCTGTCGGGCGGCGAGGACACTCATCCCCTGGTAGTAGAGCTCCAGGAAGGAATCAAGACTTGTGAACTTGTAGGCCTGCGGTTCAGGGCTTCCTCCGCTGTTGGGCTTCGGCAGAGTTGAAGATTCGAGCTGGCAAGGCGGACTGCCTACGCCCTAAACCCTAAACCCTATGAAGGTTCTATTAGGGTAGTTCCCTAAACTTTGGGTCCCTTTATATGAGCTCGCGGGCGGGGCAAGGGCAGAGGGCTGTGACTGTCCTTTGAAGGAGTCTTAGGCCTTTGGGGCTTCTGGGGCTCAGGCTTGCAAGGTTTAGCTTTGGAAGGTCCTTAATTCAGGGGCCTTCATAGCCAGAATAGGGTTTTGGGGTCTATTATGATTATACATGATAATCATAAAAATGATAGTTATATTTATACTTATAACAGCTATTGCTATAATAAGGAACCCTCAACAACAGTTATTGTTCTAATAAGGAACCCCCAAAACCCTATTTTATAATTATTAACAAGGCCTCCTGTATTAAGCTCTTAGACCCGACCCGTCTTGGAGATCCAAGGTTCGGGGTTCATAGAGTTTAGGGTTTATAGGATTTATAGGGTTTAGTAGGGCTTATAGGGTTTAGGGTTTAACGTTTAGGGTTTAGGGTTTAAGGTTTAGCGTTTAGGGTTTAAGGCTTAGGGTTTAGGGTTTAG